TACACAGTTGTATAATCACTGCCATTATAAGATAGAAAACATTCTGTCACCCCTAGAAAACCCCAACTACTTGAGTTGATTCTGACTCATAGTCTCCTAATAGAAACAAAGTAGAATTGTCCCATGAAGTTCCCAAGGCTACAAGTCTTTAGGGAAGCAGGGTGCCTCATTTTTTCCCCATTTGTAATGGCTGTTGGATTCAAGCTACTGACCTTTCAGTTAGCAGGTCAGTGCTTAATCTACCACACTTCTAGGGATCTTGTTGAATTGCCTCTAGTCCTTGGCAACCTTTTTTGTCTGTAGACTTTTTCTTACAGTTCATGTACAGTTACAAATTTGTAGCTTTTAGTGTCTATCTTCTATCACTTCCCATAATACTTTTTGGTTCATTCCATTTATATATCATTGTATGTGGATACTGCAGTTTGCTTAGTTGAGTGGCTGTGTAAACATTGCAGTTGTTTCCATGTAGCCAAGCTGTTGTGACTTTGTTGTTGTTGTTAGGTGCCTTCAAGTTGAGTACGACTCATAGTGACCCTGTGAACAAAAGATCTGAACACTGTTCTGTCCTGCGCCATTGTCACACTTCCTGACACACAACAGTCCATTGCAGCAATCAATGTGTCAGTCCACCTGGTTGAAGGTCTTCCTCTCCTTTGCTGACACTCTACCTCTCCCAGCATCATGTCCCTCTCCAATGAATGAATAGCCCCTTCTAGCAAGATGTCCAAAGTATGTGAGGTGAATTCTCATCATTCTTGCCTATGAAGAGCACTCCGGCTGCACCATCTCCAAGACATATCTGTTCATTCTCTTGGCCATCCGTGAGATGTTTAGTGCTCTTCTTCAACACCACAGCTCAAAGGTGTCAATTCTCTTTCTGTCATCCTTATTCATTGTGCAGGTCTCGGATACATAGCTTATAATTGGAAAGACTGTGGCCTGAATCAGCTGCATCTTAGTCCTCAGCTGACATACTACTTGCTTGCTGAAAGGGAGGAGGACTTGAAGCACTTGTTGCAGAAGATTAAGGAATGCCACCCTCAGTATAGATTGTGTCTCAAGAGAACAAACATTCTTACCAAAGGAACAATAGATAGTGCCATGATGGATGGAGAGGAGGTTGAAACTAAAGAGCTTTATCTTGTTTGGATCCACAATTAACACTCTTGTTATAAGCAGTCAGGAAATAAGGAGACACATTGCATTGCGAAAACCTGTAGTTAGGGACCATTCCAAATGTTTGAAGAGTAGTGATGTCAATTTGAGGACTAAAGTGTGTCTGATTCAAGTCATAGTCTTTCCGATTACTAGCTATTGTGTCTAGGACTGCAATAAATGTTAGTATATAATGTCTGTGCACATCACTGCTTCCAGGTCTTTGGGGTGTACACTTCACGCTGTTTTCTGAGTATTAAATTTATTTTTTAATTTTATGAAATCTATCTTAATCTTTTTTTTCTATTATGGCTCATAATTTTGATCATAAGAAAACTACATAATTTAGAGTAAGATTTTTCTTTTGTATTTTGTTTATAAGTTTTATAATGGAAGATCTTATGTAGTGGTATGGGATCTATCTAGAATTAATTCTTGTTTATTGTTGTTGTTAGGTTCCGTCGAGTCATCTGTGACTCACAGTGACCCTGTGTACAACAGCTCTGAACCCTGCTATATCCTTAGATAACCTTATTGTCTCTGACACACCTACCCCCCAACCACAGTCACTGAGTCAATCCATCTCATTGAGGGTCTTCCTCTCTTGCGCTATCCCTCCACCCTCCCAAGCATGACATTCTTCTCCAAGGACTGGTCCCTCCTTGCATCATGCCCAAAGTATGTCAGATGGAGCTTCAGAATCCTTGCTTTCAAGGAGCAGCCTGGTTTCACCCTCTCTAGGATGAACTTGTTTGTTCTTTTAGCAGTCCATGGTATAGTCAATACTTTTCACTAGCACCACAGCTCAAAGACATCAATTCTCCTTCTATCATCCCTAGTCATTGTCCAACTTTCTGATGTATAACATGTACTTGCGAAGACCATGGCCTGGATCAAGCACACTTTAGTCTCCAGACTGATACCGTTGTTCTTTAGTACTCAGGAGATGT